TAGTGAACCCCTTCAGAAAATCATTGAACGTGTAATCTTCTTATCTCGTTCGTGTTTTACGATGTCCATGTAGGGTGTTCGAAAGGTTCTAGGAATTTCTTACGTCAAATTAGAAACTTTATTTCTCTGAATTAATATACTTTTTTCATCAAAAAAAAAGAAAAAAAAAGATTCCGAATATTATCGACAATATGACCGGTTGCCAAAAGTGTAATGACCCATCTAGTACGCGAACGACTGAATCACAGGAAGAGTAATAACTGGTGGAATTTTTTTTCTTAAAAATAGCCCGTGTATATTTAAGATGTGGGTGCAGAAGTGGTCGATCATCCTGCTGATCGATACGTCACGATTCTGTCGAAGGCGACAGGAGATATCCACTTTTGTCACCGAGGCCTTTTTACGTCACAGAGCAACGGCAAAAAGCGTTGGACAATGGTCGACGATCATTGTGAAAGCAAATTTTGCCGTCGTCATTACTCATTGGGAAGTCCGCCATAAGACAAGGTATTGCCTTGAGCAATTTTGAAAGTGTGGCAGAAACTTTTGAAATTTTTCCATCCTCTACGAATTCGAAATCTATCTCGGTAGTGGTTACATTTCGTGAAAGACAATTTCCTCGAACATCGTTGCCCGTCGTTTTTCCCCGAAACAGGAGGACAATAGCCATACTAGACCTAGGTTATCATTGATTTCATGATTCATATGGTGAAATTTTGGCTTTGCAATGTACCAATGGAACCAGGCGATCCGTTTTAAAAGAATGACTCACCGAGGAGATAGGAAATAGATGTTGCACGCTGATTTCTTTACATTTCGTAACGAGATGGAAGAATTTGTAATTTGTACGAATTGATTAAATAAGAACATGTGGATAAGAGGGGGGTATTATCTTTCTTTGCTTCAATTGAAATTTGTTTTGAAAGAGCAAATAGTGGAAAAAGAATTGCAAATGATGTTAATGTAAAAAAATCATTAAATGTTAAATGACACGTTAATAAAAGGAAGAAACCCGCTGTCTCGAAAGAAGTTAAGTAAAATTAAGATGAATAATTCATTAAACATTCGGTTTGCATTCCGATGGATATTTTAAGAAATCCCACGTGAAATTCTATAAAAAGCCACCTCGTATTCTACGAATATAGTTTGACGAACTAAAATTAGTTTTTGAACTATTCCATCGCTATTAGTCTTATATTATTTTCTGTCTTAAGAATCATTCGTGAATGGAATAAAAATTAATCTCTGGAAATTATAATTAATAGCGGCAGGAAATTTATCAGGCGATTATATATAAAAATGTAATTTGTCGATGCAAATTGTCTCTTGAGTCATCGAAATCGTTCGTGACACCTTTTTTCTTTCTTTTTGAAAAAGAGACCTAAACAGGGCTGTTTTATTTTTATATTCATTTTAAATTTCCACGATTTTCATTCAAATATATTCCTTAAAATACATCAAATTGAAGCAGATCTTGCAGGCAAGGAATTTTAAACGCATTGCGAGCAAGAAGAGCATCGCAGAAGACTTTTATCCGATTTCTAAGAGATCCTCCTCGAATGTTACAAGCTTAGCCATCGAGTGTCGAAGTTCGGCCAACTTTCCATCCGATCAAAAGTGAATTTCAAATAAAATAAGTTGAAAGCAATTTACCTTCGAAAGAAGCGCATCGGTATATTTCTCGACATCCTAGTGCTTGTACAATAAGAATAACGAGACGATTTTTCACAACTCAATTTTCTTTTAAACTGTCAACTCATATCGTAATTGAAATTTATTCTAAAGAGAAATTTTGAATTTCATGAACTTTTTTTAAATAAACCTGTCCGAAAAATACTTGTCAGGGTTCGAAGTAAGAAATTAATTAAATTTCTGTTTATATTTTTTCTTCGATACAAAGAACCATGTATGATTACGAGTGGCGTGTGAAAAGTGTATATCTTTTTAGGTGATCCCAAGTTGATTCTATGAAGAAGCGCTTTAAGAAAATTGAAGCGAGTGGTATGCTTCTTTCACGATCACGAATGCTATTCGCGAAAATTGATTTTTTCTCAATTTTTCAAGATAGACAACAATCTACTTGAAATATTATCTGCACCTGGCAATGATTTAATATATCGCGCAATTTAGAAAAAAAAAAGAAAAAACAAAAAGAAATATAAAATCTGTAGATAGGCTTCTATGAAACAAGGTATTTGATTAAGCCCACGTTCGCACGTATTGTAGATATCAAAGAAGTCATTCAGATTCGAACATTTCATTGTTTACACAATCGGAATGAATCATGTCTACGCAATACCGCAGCGCAGTGACGAGTTACTTCCATTGATCCGATCAATTTTTTTACGAACCTCCATCCACCGACTCACCATCGATCTTTCCTAGATAATTATCTATTACATTTTCTATTAGACGAAACATCGATCGATTTTTAGATATGTTTCCAACAATCGTTCCGGCGATGACAAATTACCTGCATGCACTAGGTTTTTTTTTTTTTAAATAAATATTATGCATATTTTGCAATGACGTTAGTTTGCCAACTGAAAATTACACAAAGTTACACTATCACGCGTACTCCTAAATATATCGGATAAAACAAGTGTCAGATAGTTGAAATAACACTTCGTCATTGAACGGTTTTTCCAAAGCTTATTTCAAGAATCTCAAGAAATTGTTAATTAAAAATCATTCCAGCTGTCGTATTCTATTAACACCTTCTTTTTTTTAATGTAGGATTTTTCATTGGTAAAACCAGACATCCTTTCCACATGCAGTTTCATTGTTTATCCTATCACCGCACAAACATTGCAGAAATTCTTCGCGAAACAGCTTGTTTATCTCTGATTCGACAAGCGTTGTTAACGAGCACGTTTAAACAATGGTCGTATGTCATCATTGTGGATGAGAGCCGTCGAAAATAACGTATCTCAAGAATTTTTCCTCGTTACGATGTAGACTGTCGTCGAGGATGCATTCGCACCTGATGTCACGGTCGGTCGTGTTTTCCTTCTACAAAACGTAGAAATTTGATTGAAATAGAATTTTCGTCTTTTCCTTGTTTTGAAAAAGGACGATCCTTAGGGACTTTTCTACCTTCACTATGAAAATTTTCAATTAACCCCCTTAGCACTCGGTGAGGAAAAATATTTAATTCGATAACTTGAAAATTTCTTAAATTCACATTAATAGAATAATACCTGGTAAATCTATCGAATGGAAAAACAATAGAGACACTAGTTATTCATCGATAAATAAGATTGATCATTCGAATTAATTGACGGAGGTTTTCCTATACGTCTCTTCCATTCGTTAATCACTCGTCATCGATCTGACAGATTGCGAGGAATAAAATGAAGTGGAGTAATGTGAGCATGATTTATGAGACGAGGAACTCCCTGGATCTCCAAGACTTAATCGTTTGATTGATCAACTTAGCTATTCAACTCGAAGAATATCCCGAGACGAGTTTCTTTCCTTGTATTATCTAAAGTGTTTTTTATCTGGTGCATCAATTTCATGGAACAACAGGTCCACAACAGGTGGTTCGGAGTCTCTTATTTTTACCGAAGAATTTTCGTACGCTTTAGTCTGGCGTAGAAACGGAAAAATACGATGATAATTCTTCGTTGGAATGAAGATAATGGACATTGAGCTTAAGATTAATAGCAATTGTATAACGTAGCTGGTCTCATTGGAAAATATGAAAAACGAGCAACTCCGCATTCCAATACCGTATAGGAATGATACAGAAATTTTCTTTGAAAATTAACACCAACTTACGCAGGTTTCTCGATCGAAACAACAATTTCCAAAAATACTATTTAACTCATTTAAGAAAATAGTCGGTGTATTCGATAACATCAACTGAATCATCGAATCAATGTTTTAAGATTATGCTCAAAGTTTCCTTGTAACAAAATTCCAAGGAAAACTGGAAACCCCCCCTGATTTTTATAAAATCAAATTTTCCATAAGAAAACTACTCGCCAAGAAATCGCTTTAATAATCACATATTCGTGATTACTCTTATCTTAATCTACTTTATCAGATACTAATTAAAATTTGAAAATTGGTAATATTCCAGTATACATTAAATAAATCAATTAAAAATCTTTTGTATCAGTTGTATACCCTTCAAAGTATTAATTAGTACAATCTCTTAATTAGTACCATTTTACCTGTACCATAAGCAGGGAACGCTTACACGCGTCTTCAGATACAAATTACATCGTACTAATTAACAGAAGAACAATTATCTCAGGAAAATCGTACTAATGTTATTAATTTAAAAAAGATCCAAGAGTCGTTGTAAAATCATCGACGAATCGCGAGTGTCATCTTCGATTCGGTCTCGATCCTTCAGAAGACTGAAATGCAAGAAGCCAATACTGACCCAACGCGGAGAACGAGGTCATCGTCGAACGTATCCAACGGAAATCTTCCACGAATTCTCTGGCTGTCGAAGCGAAAACGTGCCACTAGAACTTGCCATCACGTACATATCCGCCGGAGAACACTATCATCGGCTCCGTGAAATTTGGGCTGATCTCGCGACGCCACGTGGGTGCATCGTGATCATCGATGAATAACGAGGATTCAAGCGTGACTCGAGAATTAGGCTTCCCCTGCGTTACCTATCCATTCGAATTCAACAATCGCGAGTGATATTCATCAGTGTACATGATATCGAGGAATCGAACCGATAGAACCGATTCTGGACAGAACTTTCGGTGAATTCGCTTAGTTACACCACTCTTTGAGAAGGAAAATTTTCCAAGTACTTTGCGATGAGCAGCAGAGATTAATTAGCGATGGAAAATAGTGTTAAATGGATAGGTAGCCTTAGTGGATGAGGGGAAAGGTAAAATCCCAGGGAAAAGGGTGGAGGTGTAGAAAAGAGATAAAAGCGAGGGAGGATCCGGTTCGAGTGGGGCCACGAGCCGAGTGGGGAGGTGGAGGCGGCACTCTCCTTCGAGAGTATATATGCTCGAAGCGAACCAAGCCACGCTACAGTTCACCAAGAGACAAAAGCGACAAGGATAGGGCCAACGGATTGAAAAAAAAAAAAAAAGAGAAAAATAACGAATTACGTGATATATAACATACGGAAAGTTGTTCGAGTGCGTTCAAGTTGCGAGGACCAGTGTTGAACCGCGTCCAGTGTTATTTGTAAACGATCCAAGAAAATCGGATCCGAAGGAGAATCATCTAGTTGCTTTATTTCCCCCCCCTCTTTTCATTTTTCGTCATATTTCTCGTGAGAAACATGCAAAGCATCAACGGAGTGAAAAGTTTGTTTGTCACGTTGATGGTGTTGAGTGTCCTGGACCTGATCCTGATGCCGACCACGACTCACGCGAGACCGCCACCCTCTTTGCTCAGGTAAGAGTTCCTCTTCGATTGACAAATTTCAGTGGTACAGGTCAACGAGAGGAATAATGATTTTTGGTCTTCTTTTTTGAGGGGGCTGTTCCGGGTATTCAGATTTTCAATTGCAATTCTTTTAAAATATCCACGAAAAACTTTGGTAAAAGATTTTGTTATATTGTATATCTGATCGTTTTATGAATCATTCCTCAAGGTATCTCAAGTATTTGGGGAAATTTTTAAGAGATCAATCAAACGATCACCGTTGCACCGTGATTACAAGTTAATTTGTTTATTGCATTCGCTGACGAAATCGTTCGGTTAGAGTTCACTCTTGTATAAGATTAACGGAAAATTCTTTCCTCTTTTTACCTAGTCAGTACCACGAGTTATCTACCTTACAACTGCAGTTATAAAAAAAGAAACCAGCATCACCCGAAAATAATCTTCTAAGATTAATTATAAAATTACCGAGACATTTCAAGTTCCTTATCAGATGATCCTGATGATTTCTCAGTTTCTCTTATGAAATTGCAGAAGTCTACGATATTAAAGTATCATTTAAATAGTTAATTTCAAATAAAAAATATATAGAAAGAAAAGGATTGATCGATTATCGGATAGTAGTATGCACTTCCGGTAGAAAAATTTCACCCCGTTTCGGCGTCAGGGGAAAATCCCCAGCGCGGGCATCTGAATCGCGATCCTTATCAGACCGATTAATTTTATCGATTTATTTTCGAGACATCGTCGCGACAACTCTCGTCGCATCGTGACTATGTTAACGATAGAAGCGACGCGTTCGTGACACGTCCATTCAACAGGCTGCTACAAAGCGGAATCTCCTCGACAGGGGATGAATCGACGGGGGTTTCGATTAAGGCCGTCCGTCTTTTTTTCTTCTTTTTTTTTTTCGATCTCCATAGAAATACCCATGAACATCGATAACGATGTCGACGAACGGATAACAGATAGCTTTGTCCCACATGTGCTTCCTAGAAGGATTAGCATGTCGATTACAGAGAGAAAATTAACGGCGATCGACAAACACGGTATTACCCGGTGTAGCTAGCAATATCCTTCCCTCCCCTCTTCCGGCGCCATTTTTTTCATAGACCTATATGAATTTTATTTTATCGCCGCGAAGCTTATCGCGTATCGAAATTGAAGTAAGGTAAACGTAAGGGAACAAGGGTCGTAAGATTGTATTAATCAGTTCTCAATACGGGGTCATTGGTATTGGGAATATAATACAATTGTTAAAAAAAAATTTTAATAGCATAAGGAAAAAGATTTTAAGTATTATTAATATTATATTAATTATGCGAGGTATGGAAAGCTTGATTATTATATTAATTGGAAACTTAACCTCTTTCACCCTTCCCCGTTGGCGTCCACGGGGAGAATGACACTGTACAGCAGAGGCCACCTGTATATATAGACCTATGACGGACCACCAATTACATACAAACGTTTAGGCGGGAAGATTTGAATTGATATTTATTTATTATCCATATTTCTCAGATATATACTAAATTTTATAATATTTAATAATTAAAAATGAAACTATTTTTCTTCTAAATTACTTTTAATATCAATATCATCAAAATGAATATTTTGAGAACTTCTATTCTCCTCGTATCGCCAATTTTTCCTACAGAAGCCTGACTCGATTACGAATGTATCTGATACTTCAAATTTTTTTCTTGGAGATTTATATCCACCCGAAGGCGGTTTCTTGAATCAGAAATAAGTTCGATGACCAAACACGTAAGAAGGTAGCCAGAGAAAAACTAATGAAATATTGATGACTTAGAAGAAAAAGAAGAAACAGGGACAAGGGTTGTAAAGTTGTTTCGCCAAACTATCCCAGGGAACTGTTGTCTTATGAATTTTTAATTCATAACAGATTGTATAAATTTAAAAAGCGATAATCAAGAGACAACGACCCCCTTACCAATTAGTAAGTTTCCTTTCGAGCGAAACGCCGCGAGCTATCCTCGTGGGAATGATTTGCAATATCGATGTATAATACCATACACATAGATACAGAACCGCGTACTTGTGAAAGTTTGCTCACTGATGTAATTGCACGTCATGCTATCGCAAGTCATCGTTACACGTTTGGCACATTGAAACCAGCTGCAATAATCTCGACTAGCCTCCTCCTTTTTTCGTTCTCTCACTTCTTTGCAACTCCCTCGACGCAAATTTCGCGGAAAAAGGCAATTTTCAACGTACGACAATCGTTTATCGTTACGTTCTTATTGATACAAGGTTTATCGCTCTGCGTGCAACCCAACGTGATTTATTATATATTTTAAAAAAAAAAGTCATTTTGTCAATTGTTCAGTTTTCTAATGAATTCAATTAGTATTAACGCTTGATTGCTAAATTTTAATTTAAAATCTTTGAAAATTGGAAAATTTGTAAAATTATCAAGGGAATCAATTGCTGCCTAAATCTATTATTATATAATTTAGTAATATTCTTCACACGTACACATGCATATATAGCATTCTTTTGAAAATTATCTTAATCAATGATTATATCAAGTAATTTTTAAATACGGGGAATCCAAAGATGAGGGACAACCTTATCTCTCTAATGCGAACGTATTTACAGAACAGGTGTCTATAATTAACTCGATTTCAGATAGGAACAGATATGAGTAATTTCGTGCGTAATGAACAAACTCGAGTGGTGTGTAAAAATATGTATTATAGATATTAATTTTTAATAAATCTCTAGATTCAATCAGAATTGTTATTAATATTTTATTCCTCAAAACGAAGACCATTATTCTATATCATTGTCACTTATGATTCTCCTAATAATGCGAAAATTTATTAAAATTATTTCAGTAGACAGAGACGAGTATCGGACCAGAGGCTCGCCGAAATAGAAACGATTATTGGACTGGAGAACGTGAAAGGAAAAGTTGTGACGGTCCCCGTTGGATTCGGTGTAGTTGATATAAATAAGATGTAAGTACACAAGCAATTACATAATATGTACCGTGAAAGTTCGCCTTTATCACTGGCTGATTTATTGTTATCAAAAACGGAGCGTGGCCAAATTATATTAATACCTCTTCCTACTGTAAAACATTTAGATAAACAACCGATAGCTTATCTATCGCGTTCTCCATAATCTTTCTTGCCTCCATATATGATTGTGTCTGCTTAAAATTCACTAATTTTTCTTTCAAAAGATCTACTCTTAATTATAACGAGTGCGATGCAATATGATATAATTGAAAAAAGTAGATCATAATGTACTAGTAGATAGATAATGTACTTTTTACCAACTGTACACGTGCGACTCTCTAAATCTGTCTAAAAGAACGATAACCTTTAGCGAGCCGGTCTATAACTATACTCTTTATGTAACGATTGCCATTCAAGTTCAACGTGATTGTGACGATTTTCCGATGAAATACGAATGGCAGACTAGTCGGGATAATCACCGCGTTCAATTCACAATCGTATGAGTCAGAATCGTACCTCGTTTACGACTAAAAGGGAGCTAAAGAGAGGGAGGGATACGTGTGATCACTCTAAGCAGAAAGAAGACAGATCTCTCGTTCTGTTGCATCACCGTTAAACGTACGAAAATAAAGATCTATTTAAAAAAATAAAAAGAGTTATTCTCGTATTGCAATCTGATTTTGAGTATAGGAATCTTTGGTGAACGAGGTACACGTCACCTGGCAGACGCTGTTTATTTCTGTACACGCGGGCTTTTCAATTTCACACTCTGTCACGGCTCGCCGCGGGAAATATTTTCTTCTCGAGCGCGAAAAAAAAGAAAGAAAAATTGTAAAATGTATCGCACGTACGGGAGAGGAGCATTGAAATTCAACTTGTTGCTTCGAACCTCATCTCCGGCGCCTCCTCGGCAACGACAACCCCTCGAAACGAGGGGTTGAAACGAGGGGTGGCGAGCGACGATTAAAGAGGTCCCAGTGGTCACGTATACACGCGACGAAACGAGGAAAAATGGCCAATTAACGTTGGGACAAATGACTGAGGGGTGAAAGTTTACTGAAACTTGGAAGGTTATTAACTTTTCGGGAAGAAACGATATTTATTATTTTACTCGAACCTATTATTTATATTTTTATATTTATAACCGATTGTATCGATATACATAAAAATTGATTTTTGATCAAGTTGATCATAGATCCTGATTGAGCTTACCGAGACAAACACACTGATTAATGAATTATAAAAAAATAAATTTAATCCATACACGTATGATATCGTAACTTTATCATTTTTTCAAAGATCAACGATATTAAATTATATTACTTATCTTCCATTGTCAAAATGTTTCCTGAAATACAACGTAGAGATTCGATTCGCGCACAGTTAATTATTTATCGACAAGTCCTGTCACAAAGAATACGTGTACACAAACCACAAAGCATCGGTACGTCTGTAAGGACGTAGATTGAATAATGTATCGCGGTGACAAAGATGGCCCACATAGAGAGACGAAGGGAATACGCAGAGTACACGAAGAAGGAACGATAATGGATCCTCTAACCTGGTTATCTTTCCTTCGAATGTACTCCGAATAAATTTCTATCCGATCCTCGTGAAAATTCACTGAAAGTCACATGAAACGACCTTTTCGCACGACTTCATTTTCTTCCGAAGATTATGTAAACGAGTAGATTGTAGATTCTTCGAATTATCTTAAGAGACAATGGCCAGCTTTAGGCTGATTCTTCCTTTCTTAATAGAATGAAATTCATTAGTAGTTTGCCGAATAAATGATAGGTACAAGTTGTAAAAAAGAAATCAATTCAAAAGGATCTATTAGGGTGAAAGGGCAAGATGAAAAAGAAAGTCAAAGGCTGTTGGAATTTTTCAATTACGAAAAGAATCCAGAGAAGCTTCGAATCGATCCTTCGAAGTCAACCGAACGTTTTAATATCTTGTCGAGAAATGAACCGTGTTAACAGGGGTCGCATAGTTCATTGGTAGCCTATTAAAATTCACTTGCAAAGCTAATACGATTTTAGTATAATAATTCTATTAAGAATAGAAAAAAGGAAATTAAGATCGAACACTCGTCATTTATATAATCTCTACGATTTTCCTTCCTTTTCTATCGATAATGAATTTCTATGAAGGGGATCCTAAACGATTGCACGATCGCCGGTTATCCCAGATCGGCACGTGTCATTCTTTCCTTGAAGTTTCTACGCGTTCAACACGCGTGATCGTGTGTAATTGCTAATTAAAAATTTATGTTCTTTATTTCTGGATTGTTACAGAGGTCGTAGACGAAGATCCGCCACGAATAATCGACTCGAAACCCTGCAACGCATCCTGAGAATCGTTGCAAACGATCCCGAGCTGCTCGACGACGAGAAGATTCTTTCCTTGCCAATGGTAAGCTTTAAATATTCATTAAATTTTTGATCATTATAAAAACGGGAATGATCGAGTGATTTCAACGATGGATAAGAAAGTGTCTTCTCGATTTATAATCAAATCGTTTTTAATTAAAAATAAAAGAATATTTCTTCTAGTAGAAAATGAACATTGTGTTAATTGAACGTTGCAACGATTAATCATGAAATCGTCGTAAATCATCATTTAATTATGTAAACGTGGTGTCAACGAGTCACCAATAGTAAGAGTTATCAATAAGTAAACCGCAATCCGGATCCCGTTACTTTTTCCAATGTTAGCTAATTGCAAATGCAATCGTTCCTGATAATTGGCTGAGAGAAAAAAAAAATCAGTGGCACGCGCCTAGCCTTTTCTCGCGAACTTTGCGCGGATCGTGTAGTATTTTTGTAAATCAACACATCTATCGTGCAGTTTATTTGCAATTTCATTAGAATTTCATCACCGCATCATTGCCTTCGAGTACAAGAAATTACACGCAGATATGATGATAAACGTTAACTAGCGCTTTGCATGTTCGCGAATTAAATTAATTTCTCAAAAAATAAAATTGCAAATTAAATTTGGGACTTTCGTATATTTTGCAAAATTTAACAAATTCCAGTTGAGGATTTCTTTTTAATCGTAGATATGTTTTTTTGTTTAAATTACAGAAGATGAAAGAGAGCCGACATGCAGCCAACGACGAATGGTTCATTTAATTACAAAGGCACCAAGGTATCGTCCTAAAACACAGGACGAACACGAAGACAGAGTCGAGAGACCGGGAAACGCTTATAAGAACCAAGAAATCTAAAAAAAAACCACAAAAAAAAAAGAAGAAGATACAAAATACACGATCTCTCGACCCTAAGCAGCCTGAACAGTATTACGGACCGTCCTCCGTCCGAGCTTAAACTCTTTAAACGAAACTTACACTATTAGGATACTAAGTAATTAAACTACGGAACGGAAGAGAGAAGAGAACGAGTGAAGTCCAGGATGAAGAATGTATGAGAAAAGATCACGTCTGATACGTGTTCTTCGAAAATTCGAAACCGTAAGCCGCCATTTGTCGCGGTTTTCATTTTGTTTCTGTTCGCGTGCGTGTATTATTTTACTTTCTGTATATGTGATTTTATGTTTAGTAATTTATTTAGTTAGATTTATTTATTTATCGATCGTAGAAAACGATCAGACTGCGTTCATCTCGATTACGTTTATTTATTACAAGCTGCGATTGATCTTATTCATTTCGATTGATAGAATTTGTTCGATCTCGATCTAATTATCAGCACGGGGTGATCGGTGATCGCGAAATCAGAGTTCGAAGATCAGAGATTCTTAACAAGTTGATCGCCACAATAGAAATAATCATATTACAGTGAAAATTTTTCATTTTTCTATTGATTATCTTTCGTTATTAATTTTCAAATTGGTGCTGGCCACCGATATATCGATCGCTTCAATTTGCTATTTCAAATTATTAGCGTGATCTTAGTAGTATTATGAACTGTCCTATTGTTATCATTTTTTAATTATTTGAAGAATTAAATTGAGAATGTTGGTCGTGGCGGTCAAAGTTGTTAACGTAGAAAAGAAAGAATTAAGAAAATGATTCGTTGGAATCCTGAAGGGAAGAGCGATCTGTTATTAGCATCGATTAACACTTTGATGGTTTCATGATTTTCATCATTTTAGATTAATAAATAGGTTTAGATTTGACAATTATACCATGGAATTACATTTGATAAGAACCATCAAAGTGTTAACGCAAAACGCGCTAGAGCACAAATTAATTAATTTCGTTCGTTAGCTCCATTGCCTTTTCATTTCGCGTTTATTTATTCGTTGCAACAGTTCCAAGATTGCGTTCGAAGGAAACGAAGAAAGGATTGAAAGAAAGACACGTGGCTGTGAAACGACGAAAACAGAAGAAGAAGAACGAACTTGGCTTTTCGTGTTTAACATATTAGCACACAAACGATGAACCTCTGTTTTTGTTCTATTTAATATTTATTGTTGACGCTTCGATAATATATCCATTGATTTTTTACCGTCCAAGTAAACAAAAAATCATGAGTCAGGAAGGAAAAGTTATTTCGAACAATCTGGGAACTGCTGTTTGTATTTGGAAATTTTGCCAACTCGTTCTTTAGTTTAAGTTTACCAAGCCATTTTATTTATTGTTCTGTACTGATATAGCATTTATCGTCGCGTTAAATTATTATAGCAACACGAAATAACATGGACGATCGTACGCTAATTAATGTCAACGATACTGATTGAAATCGTTCACGTTAATTACGCGACCTGCCGCGATCCTGCGTCCTACCATTTCCAAGTGTTCAATTACTATTATTATTATTATTTTTCTATACATTATTTATTTATTTATTTATTTAATCGTAACAGACGTCGGGCAAAGTATTAAAAGACACTGTCGCGAGTGTCGCGACATTCGATGTGTACCGAACGATGAGTCCGAGATTAATATCAATTGATCTATCGCGATTGTGCGCGAATTATTTTATTTATTTAAATGCAATAAAAAACAATAATCAGCTGTATATATATTACGTGTATCTCTTGACCATTCCCATTCCTTATTTTCCTTTTTTGAAAAGAATAAGAAAAATAAAAAAGAAACACGTGAATTATAGTTCGAAATTCGGCCGTCAGTAAAATTCATCTAATTAGATAATGCAAATTAATTGAAAGTATTCGGGAGCTCCCTCTACAGAAATGATAAACGAATCAATTCAATACTGTCGGTAAATGTAGAATCTTATTTCTGAAAACGTGCGTATTGGTTGATTTGAAAAATGGAAAGTTTTTCGAGGGAAATAAACGAAACGTACACGAGGTCTGACTAAACACAATTCGTACTACTGAAGATACGGCTGGAATTAGATCACCGCTGACTTTGAACAAACTTGACGGTAAAGAACGTTTTCTCGAGCGAATCGCTTCGAGTTCTATTCGAAAGATGAAAGATAGTTTTGAAAGAGAAATCTTGACGAAGATTTTCAAGGATTACAAGTAACGAATCAGGGTTGAAGTGATTCGAAATTTCACTTTAATTTTCTTACGTTTCAACAAGACCGATCATTATGAAAGAAAAGAAACATTATCAAGAAATTGAATATAGTTCTGACAATTTTTCCAGATGAACGAACCAGGTAAACGGGACTTTCAAAAAGAAAAGCGAATCAAATTGCAGTCTGTATCGATCGATCGTCGCTGTTTTCGATGTTCGAAAGCAAATAAGTATCGAAGCGATTCGCAATAACGATTCCGATTCGCTTAAAAATTTGCAAGACAGAGAGAGAGGGAGAAAGAGGGAAAAAAGGAGAGAGTATCGAATGCCTATATCACTAGCGCGATGCGTGATATGAAATTATTTCATAAATACGCACACATGCCGCGTGGGTGGGTGATTTCGCAATTCTTAGTACTGCGCAGTTTAAACGGTATCGTCGATACGTCCCAGACGAACGGGCCTCCAAAAATTGCACAATCTTCCATTTCGATTAGCCCTCTCCTATCGTTCGACTACGTAAAACCGATTTCGTTAGCCACGCTTCCAATCGTACCGGCTGTATCTTTATACGTACGTATGTTGTGAAAGCAACTATCGTTCTACGCTCTCTTGTATTTGGGCCGACGCTTTATTTTCTCCTCGTTTTGTTTTGTGTTTTCGTCCGGCCAGAGATTCGTAATGGGGTAGATCAGCATCCGTCTTAATGAGTTCCACGACTCTTCGATGAGTAAATCGTGGGGGATGCTACCCTCACTGTATGACTTTAATAATTAATGAGAATATGATTAATTTTAAACATTTTTAGTGTACTCGCGATCTTCAGGAAAAATTCAGACATCCTGGGTTAACGTCCTTCCCCCCCTAGGCATCTCGGGGGAGAATGATAAGAAGTAGGGAAGGAGCTTTCCCCGCGGGAAAATTTTAATTAATATTTATTTAGTAGTAAAAATTTAATAGTTATCGAATTATCGAATTTTATTAATATTATTAAAATTAAGATTTCAATTTTAATACGTGTTAATAATTTAAGAATTTTCCAAAGACCAATTAGCAAGATTGGCTCAAGTGACGACAGCCCGATCGAGGTCACAATTTAAACAATCTTCTATATATATGTATATAACTACTATCATCAAATGCCCGTTTTAATTACAACTTATCCGCGTCAAATACATTTTTATTCACGCGGTCAAAAGTTTACTTTGTTGCATCTTAAATCAAGAATATCCATGCGGTGTTCACGTCAGAATTCTTTGAATCTCAATGAAAAATTGTTTTTCAGGAAACTCGTTCACCGTGATTTCAAGGGTACCGGAAAATCCATCGTAACGATCTCCATGGAACGATTAGATTCGAATGACGAAATGCAACGTTGTAATTAAATCAGACTTTATCGCGATACAAATTTTCGTCCCAGTCTCGTGTCATTTTTATCTGAAATATCCGAGAAAGATTCTTCGAAGTTTGATTCTCTAAACCTTTTCACTTTTCTCGTTTCAAAATATGAACGAAAATTGTCGCTAATTGTAAATTACGAAACAGAGCACAATTTCTTATACCTCGAATGAAACGTAACGCACGAGGAACTTTTCTTTCCTTGCGCGTGGACGATGAAATAGTAAATGAAACGCGAATGATGAAACTGGTTGACCGGTTACGCTCGAATGTTAGTTTCCTGTGTCACGTGGAAACTTTCAGAATTCCCATGTATCTTTACTTCCGGGTAGGAAGCAATCGCTTGCATTGATTCACCGTAAAAAAAGGAAAAAATTACTGTTGATTAACAAGCGATTTTCTTTCTGTCGCGTGTCGGCCGATAGTCATTAACGACGAGAGAGAGAGGGACTTTTATAATTAAAATTTTTTCACTTTCTACCTTGAAAAATTAATATAATATAATTTTTTTCCTTAAATTATATTAAATTAATAGCGTCAGTCACCAACGACCCCCCGCTAACTTTCTAATAGATAAAATGTAAATACATTATGTATAAATAAAGCCAAAGATAGAATAACATTTTGTCGAAATATTCCAAAAGATTCGACCTTCGAAAAAATCATTTCTTCCTGAATAAACACCGGTTCACGATAAGAGCGCAACAACAACGCAAAATATCGTATCAGAATTCAATTGTTAAATTCCTGCGAAATTCCGTCCTCGATGGTTCGCTTCCTATCTAAAGTGCAATTAACGAAATAAAGAGTTCAACCAATTATTTTCAATTGGTTCACGCGACACGACGGATAACCGGTCGGTGTACATACATCGAAAAAATTTCAGGAAATCAATTACGATTACAGTGTAATTCATCGAAACGGACACGAGCGAGGTCCAATCGTAACGATAAGACGAAGGGGGTGTACTTACATGCTTCGAGACAACGTCAATGTCTTTTCGAGTGATGACACCCAGGAGGGGGAGGGAGTTCATCAACGACGAATATATACGCGAACCGAAGCCTCGTAACGCAACAGTTTCGAGTTGAACGAGACCAGCTAAGTCGACCAGTGATTTCATTCTCAGAGAGAGAAAAAAATAGTTAGCGTGAAACGTTGTCGCGAATTCAACGAAACCTAGTTTCATTCTTTTCCTCTTCCTTCTATAAAATATGTACACCACGGAGAATAAAAACACTTCCGGGAGATCCTGGATCGTTATCGCGATGATACTCGCGGTGTTTCATCTGCCCGCGATTGTGTCCGCGCAATTGGGCTTTGAAAGGTAAGTGTTACTTTTAATTTGCGGGGGTGGTCGTGTGTTAAATTTTTGAGAATCCTTTCAACGCGTAAAATGGATGGTACTTATATAAGTATATTAATTTTCGGAATTATTCTTTTTGTAATAGATTCAAAAGCGAAAACACCATCGCCACGTACGATAATGTATTGAATTTCGCAAAAGTTGGAGAGAACGACGTTGCAAAGCAGCTGAACGAAGAACTACTTGGCACGGCTAAAACGTGAGTAATTATGATTTAAAATCCTTCCAAATTAAACAAAATGAAAAAAGTGGAATCGGAAGAATGTCTAATACTCTAATTAAAAATGAATTTAAAAAAAGAGATATACCTAACGTTGATTCCGTGTATTTATCAATACACGTTGCAAAATACCAACCAAAACAGAGGAATTCTAAATAGTAAATCTTTCCTAAGATTATTGTTGTCAAAATAAATTTAGACGTTCGGAATTAGTAAATTAGATTAGTTACCGATATATCTTGCCTGAAATAAAATCATTTCTAGAAAAGTACACTTTTTTAATGAATCTTGTATCACGCGAGCAGACGGCACAAACGATTATCGGATCAAAGGCGAGCAGAACTAGAGACCCTGATGGCTCTTTCAAAGATGACGGAAAAATTGGTCAACGTAATAAGGGGAGGACGACACTTGGACCTGACGAAATCGTGAGTGGTAATTAAAGTAAATGAAATTCCCATGTGAATTATTTATATCTAATTTATCGTGTGTTTCAATTCTTAGCGGTCGAAGGAAACGATCGATCTTCGATTTAAACGTGAAGAATCTTCAAAAGCTATTCCGACTTTCAGGGAAAATCGGTTACAAGGGAAATAAGGCCTATCCTGTTGTTAGGTATGTAATTAACGCTATTATCATTGAACTAATTAATTAAATTTCAAGTTTGAGTTAACGAGTTAGGCTGAAAAAAAGTACACTTTAAGACTAAAACATCGTTCATTCATAAACACAGCGTAGCCTATTAAAAGCGAGGATGTTTCTCGAACGTCTAACGAGGAGTTTAATGAAACGGATCGTAATTAACTCGGTTCGATAATTACGTGTTTGATTTTCTATGACGCGATCGAATACAAAAAAGAGCTGAATCGAAAGTTTTCGAAAAATCTGCTTCGAACCGAACTACGCAACGAGACACGCTTTCGAAGCGTCTCTATTTTTTTTTTTTTCTTTTTCTTTTATCACGGCACACGATAAGATCACGCTCGCGCACGATCGGGGCAGCCTGAAAATTCGCGATGTGTATGTAACGAGCGAGCGTAAACGTGATGTAAGAGAAGCGTAATGTTAATCCAGATAAATCCTTGCCGAACCGAGACGAACTTACGCCATCTTATCTATCGCTTCTGTTGCAATAATTTCGATTCGCATCGGAAATAATTTTGACGATAGCGTTTAATAAGTCCGCCGGTCGAGCTTGAGAAGTGGGTCGATCGCTGTGTGCCGCGATGTTCGAGCGTTCATCATCGAACCCGCGGTATCGCGTGATAGGATATTTATCTGGTACTCTTACCTGGACCTTGTTATTATAGTTTTCATCCAGGTCCGTCTGACGAAGCAATCATTAATTAAATCTTTCGTGCCCTTCATATTGATTGCTGGTTGATCATCTGTATAGAGAAACAGATTAATTTGCTTCATTATTTCAATTGATAATCATCTATAAATATTATCGATTTCCTAAATGATATCTGTGAATTTTATATTTAGAATAATTCATTTTAATTAGTTAATAAAATTTAGGAATTTTTATTCTCATTATCAAATCTTTTTGAATTTGGTATAGATAACTGGAGCAGTAATAACCAGAGTTCTTACTTATCAAATTCTTTTTCTTTTTACACATACATTATCATTGATAATAAGAAACAGAAAATTAAAAGTTTCACGTCTTACCAATGCCGAATAACTTTGTCCCATTAGCGACCGAGTTCATCCTCGTGTTTGTTTACTTCGGTACTTCGGTTCTTCTAAACAAACGAAAAGTCGTTCATAAACGTGACTTGGATTTCATAAAAGGCTGATGAATCGCGATTTTAGAGTTTATAACATAGTAAGCAAAATTTATAACGAGTCGCGTTAGATAAACTCGATGACCCAGTGTTCCTTTAGCGTTAGATACGCTCGAATACTACGGGCCAACTTTCAATGACTGACTTTAACGTCTTTTCATTGATACTTCGGATACAATTTAGGGCACAGTCGAATGTATTCTAAGCTCCTGTTACATTCCACTGTTACTTGCATTCTTCTTGTTTAATGTTATTGCATAACGATTTGTTAAAATAATTCTTTGAAATAGTGTTATTTTTTTCTTTTACAGTTGAGAATTGATAGCAGTGCGAAGGATGTTGACGTAATTTTAATTTACCAATGACGGTACAGAGAATCAGAATAGGATGACCCTGGTACGAAAATAAACAAATCGAGTGTATCAATTCGTTGCACGAAATCATCGATGGATCATCATATTGACGAATTAGGCGTTTCATCGGCAAAAAATGATCTTCTCTTACGCATGAATAAGAATGACAATTATGTAACTTATTTATTTAACGGAATGAATGTTTGCAAATTGTTTTTTGTACGATGTTTTCTACTTTTTATATTATTTATCAATAAATTTATATATAATTCAACTTAATTAGTGTGTGTTTTGGTATTTATTATGTTTTCAAACTGAATATGTAAACCAAATGTTTAGACCAGGGATAATCATTGTAGTAAAGTAAAATTACTTCTGTTAATATCCTAATCCTATTAAATTTTGATAACTTTTACATTTACCTTTGGTTAAAATAACGCATTGTACTTGTTTTGTTCTCTACAATACATAAATGTAGCCCTTCATACTTTATTATTCCCTAACAAAAACGAATTTACCTCTCATACATACCATACGTCGTAACTCCACGAGGTCCCGAATGCTACTGAGGGCGCCGCAGCACACGGCCGGTAGCTTGTAATGGTGCTACCATCTAGCGGCCATTTCCTGAAACATATACACAACTCGATTAGTGCATGTATAAGACATTCTAAAAACCAAATTATTAATTGTATGTAATATCTGAGATATAAAATAATAATTTATTTATTATATTTGATTATTACTTATGTCAACATTTATAAAATAATAACCTTATCTCGAAATATCTTTACAATAAGTAGAGGTTAGTGATTCTCACTTCCTCTGTTTCTTAATAAACATTATTAGTATTATAATGAATATTAATTTTCCTAACAACAAGAAAAATGTACCTATAAAAAGTATGTTATATTTCCCGTAGTATTAGATTTATAGAACGTTCAAAGTGAATAATACATTGCATACTTTCGAAGATCTTACTACTTACTGCAGTTGATTTGGTATCTATAGTAGTCAAAAAATTCCACTGTCGACTATTGAACGTTTCTGCACATAAAAATTGTGCATATTTGAAATGTATCACTGATCAAAATGTAAGTTACGCGGGAACAAACATTTCGCCAAGAGTCGTTGAAGAGCTTTAAAAGAGTTCTTTACTTGAATATCGATAGTCCAACTGCGATATCTCGAACTCGCAAAAGTCTCGTTAGCACAGTACTATCGCAATTATCGATCGATGCGAGTCGCGCAATGGTATCCTTTGATAGTAGTGGTGTTCATACTGGGTTCTGACAAAAATTCGTGTAAAAGGGTGTGTAAAATGCACAAACGGCATAACTCGGGGATACTCGGGTTGGCCTCGGAGATGCTTCCAAGAATAATAAGTGTTAAAAACGTCGGGATCCTTAGGAAATATCACCGAGTGGCTTAGCTGTCGCATTTATCCACAGAGATGTCTGCGCCCTGAGAAACGGACTGACGGACAGACAGACGTCTCTGTCAAGTTTTTGTGAATCCCGACGAAATGCTGTTTGTAAAATTCGGGAACTCTCCGGAGCGTGTTCTCTAGCTAGTGCGCGTTATTCTTTCGGATGCGTGATAGCCTCTGCCAGTACGTGGAGATGTTTTCGTCGCCGGCGTCTGTGGTGGGCGAGCCGTCAGGCTACGACTTTCAGAAAGAAGAGAACGCCGCCAAGTGGAAGGGAGTGTTTGTCAACTCCCTAAGCAAGGTATTCTCTTCTTTCGATTTATCCTCACCAAACGATTTCTATCGATCCCATTTTTTAATTACGCTCAGATACTATCGATAAGCTATTGTCGATACGTTACATTGTCATTGTCACACGTTACGCGTGTGAGCATTTTATGCTCTTTCAGGATTCACAGAACATTCATATCTCCAAGATCCACTATAGTAATGTTCGCTTAATTGTTGCATTTTATGGATACTGTTATGCTTGAAATACAAGAAATTTCCTCAAGATTAAACCGATGCATGTTATCTGTACAAAGATTGCCACATTGTACTTATTGCTAAATAAAGAAGTTACACTACCTTGTAATAGATTTCATTACTTTTATGTACAAAAATCGTGAATAACAAACTTGGATCATAATTTATTAACAAATTGTTCCAAATATTTGTATTAATTAATGTATTTCTTTTTTGCGGAGATGATAACTGATTAAGAATTGTATCATTTTTAACTGGATAATGATGTAGTTAGAATATTTTAATTGAAGTAATAAATTGCTATAAGTAATTTAGTTTGTTGTTTTTTACTGCTCATTTCATTACTACTCATTAGGATTCATTTCACAAATTTGTGTATTTAGTATTTGTGTAATAAAATATATTAAAGTAATCGTCTCTACTTTGTATGATACCTTTAATTTAAAAATAACAATTATCAGAATTTAATAGATGATTAATATAAAATAGGTATTGGAACAAGTACATCCTAGTCTTGAAGCACGACAAGATGCCTTAGACTATGTTGAGAGTTTGATCTTAAGGCTTTTGGGAATGCTTTGCGGTCATCCTCCTCCGCATACGCCTCAAGATGTAGAAGAAAGAGTAAGGCGTACATTTCCCACTCCCATTGATAGATGGGCACTTAGGGATGCAAGAGAGGCCTTAGAAAAAGGAAAGAAGAAGTCGCCGCTAGTTCTTCCAGTTGATAAAATTCATCACTTGTTACAAAAAGTAATTACAATAAACTGAAAAACTTACAGTTGTTCTGTATCATATATAACTGTGTGTTATAATTTCATATTTTTATATTAACAGGAAGTATTACAACAGAAAATTGATTTACAAGTTAGTCTTTTTGTGGTAGGAGTCTTGGAGTACATTTCAGCAGATATTTTGAAGGTTGGTTCTTTTTATATTATCTGTTATACGTGCTAAGTTTTGAAAATGTTTAAGACTATTTTCTTTTCAGCTAGTTGGAAACTATGTCAAAAATATACGTCATGTAGAGATATCTTGTGAAGATATAAGAGTTGCAATGTGTGCAGACATGGTAATGTATTATGTTTAAGAATTAGGAAAACTTATACTATCTCAACCTATGGACAGATAATTAATTTAAGGGAATGTCCCAAATGTAATCAGTGATTTATTAACAGGTACTAATGGACTTGTTTCATCAAGGTGATTATGCAGAAGGTCCACAAAGTGGTTTAGGTGCAGTTGTTTCTCAAACTTATGAAGAATCTGTCAGGGATCTCATACACGATGAACGTCACTATTTACGTGATCTCCATATGATCATTAAGGTAAAGTAATCAATTAACATTACGCATGATTAAGAAAAATTAAATTTTCGTTTCTTGAACAGGTGTTTCGGGAAGAAATTGCAAAGTTAACACAGGATAGAACCGAACTTGAAACACTTTTTAGTAATATTATGGATATTTATGAAGTTACTGTAACAGTGCTTGGTAGTTTAGAGGACATAATGGAAATTACAGAAGAGAAACAAACACCCACATTTGGTTCGTGTTTTGAAGATCTGGCAGAAGCAGCGGAATTAGATGTTTATATAAAGTATGTAAATAATTAAATAAATATTTAATTATTCCTAAATATGAACTAACGTGATTGTAATATTAGGTATGCAAAAGACATTAATAGTCCAGCTAGTCGAGAAGTTTTAGCAAATCTGTTGTCAAGGCCTGAAGCCAATGCTGCATTACGGGCAGCAGGACATGGATTTAAAGAAGCAGTTAAATATTATTTGCCAAAACTTTTATTACAACCAATATGGCATTGTTTTTTGTACTTTGACTATATAAAGGTATATTTTTAATATCTTTATCATGATACAAATGAAACAACGAATGTGATATAATAATATTTCATCTAGGTTTTACATGAACGTACACCAAATGGTGAAGATGGTGAAACTTTGTTACAAGCACAAGGGATTTTAGCACCATTAAAGAAGGAATTATTACAATCTGTGGCAAGTCTTCCAAAAAAAGATACAGGTCTGCGAATGCAAAGTAGAGCAAGAAGGCAAGCAGCCCTTGAGAAAACTAGCGAATTACAAAAAACTGTTGATGGATGGGATCAAAGGGATGTTGGGCAATGTTGCAACGAATTTATACGTGGTATGCAGAAGAAATATTCATTTCACGTTATAATTTCAATTAAAATATACACGTATGGTGATATATAATTGTTCTTTATATGTAGAGGATATGTTAGGAAAAGTAAGTAACGGACGAAGGTTAACAGAACGGAAGGCTCTTCTATTCGATGGTTTGTTAGTTCTTTGTAAACCCAGTGGTGGCAAAAGAGTTAGCGTTACCGTTGCAGCTGTTGGTGTAGTGGGTCATCCACCTCACCAAGGGGAATTGCGTTTAAAGGAAAGATTTTTTATTAGAAAAGTTGATATTATCGATAGGGAGGATACTGAGGGTAGGTTCGATAAAAAGAAACCTCAAGATGAAAAATTCAAACATAACAATTACAATTATCTTTTTAGAACTAAAAAATGCCTTTGAAATTGCACCAAGGGACCACCCTAATGTTATTCTTGTTGCCAAATCTGTCGAAGATAAAAATAGTTGGATGGCGGATCTTGTAATGTTAAATACAAAGAGTATGTTAGAAAGAACTTTGGACAGTATCCTTTTGGACGAAGAAAGGAAACATCCCTTAAGGTTACCTCCACCACATTTATATAAATTTGCCGAACAGGATAGCCCCGAAAATATTGTTTTGGAAGCCAGAGAAAATGGAGGTGTTCCATTAATTAAGGGCGCTATTTTGGTTAAATTGGTAGAGAGATTAACTTATCATATATATGCTGACCCAGCTTTTGTACGAACATTCCTTACTACTTATAGGTCTGTGAAATTTCAAATGAAAATTTTAACGAGCAAAATATTTATGTATAAGTATTTAATAACATTTTCTATATTCGCTTCTCAGGAGTTTTTGCTCACCTCAGGAACTATTGACTTTGTTAATTGAAAGGTTTGACATACCAGACCCTTCGTTAGTTTATGGCGAAGAAGAAAAACCTTCCGGTTGTAAAACAACCGCTAGGGAAGATTGGAAAAGATATAGAAAAGAATTTTGTCAACCCGTGCAATTCAGAGTTTTAAATGTTCTAAGACACTGGGTTTGTAATATTTTATTATTTTCAATTCAACATATTTTAATCCACAACATTTATTTAAATGTTCTTTTAAATCTTATCAAAACTAGGTTGATCATCATTTTTACGATTTCGAACGGGATAGAAATCTTTTGGAAAGATTACAATCGTTTTTAGACACGGTAAGCGGAAAGTCAATGAGAAAGTGGGTGGATTCGGTAATAAAAATTGTGCAAAGGAAATGTGAACCTTCGGAACAACGACCGATAACATTTAGTTTCGAACGATCTCCTCCGCCTATTGAATGGCATTTAAAAGTTCCTGAAGAAGAATGGGGGATATTAACAGTAATATTTACATTTTCATAAATAAAACAAATTATGCCATATCGATATACGAATAAATATTCTTTTGAAAATTTCAGTTACATCCAATTGAATTAGCGAGACAACTAACTCTGTTGGAATTCGAATTGTACAGAACTGTTAAACCTTCGGAATTAGTAGGGTCAGTGTGGACTAAGCGAGATAAAGAAAAGACATCTCCGAATTTACTCAAAATGATCAAGCACACGACAAACGTAAGTTAATTAAATACTTTTATCTGCATGATTTTATATTTCCTATATAAAAGAAAAAAATATTCTTCTTCTTCAGTTTACACGATGGATTGAGAAAAATATAGTTGAAGCGGAAAATTTAGAAGAGAGAGTAGCAATTGTGTCACGAGCAATTGAAATCATGATGGTGCTTCAAGATCTTAATAACTTTAATGGCGTATTAGCAATTGTTAGCGCTATGGGTTCTGCGTCTGTGTTTAGATTAAAGTTCACTTTTCAAGTACGTCTCCCTATGTTATTCTATACAATGTTTTTTAAGCAATTTAAATAAATTAATTCCATCATAATTATAGCAATTACCTGCACGATTGGAAAAGGCCCTGGAAGAAGCACGAGAATTAAATAACAACGGTCGGTTTCGAAAATATCAAGAGAAATTACGATCGATCAATCCACCTTGTGTACCATTTTTTGGTAAGTAGTAAGAAATAGGATTAACAATTTGAATAAATATGTTTACTAATAGTATTGTTCTATAGGCATGTACCTGACCAACATTCTACATATTGAAGAGGGAAATTCGGATTATCTGCCCGGAAGTCCCGAGCTTATAAATTTTAGCAAGCGACGGAAAGTGGCCGAGATAACCGGAGAGATTCAACAGTACCAAAATCAACCTTACTGTCTTTCAGTTGAGCCTAGAATAAGGCATTTTATCGAGAACTTGTCACCTTTCGATCCTAACATGAAAGAAGCTGATATAAGCAATTATTTGTACAATAAAAGCTTAGAAGTAGAACCAAGAGGATGTAGGCAACCGCCTAGAGTCGTAAGTTTTAATTACAATAACAGCTCTAAATCCCACATAGAATTACCTAATCGTTCTCTTTTATTCCGACAGCCTCGTAAATGGCCAGACTTAAACTTAAAGTCACCGGGCATTAAAGCTAGGAGTTTAAGCGGTAAATTACCAGCTCCGTTACAAGCGGTAGCATCCAGCGTAAGATTACACGATCCTCCACCGGAAGTGCCGCCTCAAGAGCTGCCAGAAACTCCACCGCATACTTCTCACATCACAGTTTCTCACGTAGGGGGGGACCACAGTGTATTTGCACCTGTTTTACTAGGAGGTTCGTGAACCAACTTCAAGTCTAATAGCTGGATGCTTATAAATTCTCTTACGTTTATAAACAAAAGACGAGAGATTTTATTTTTCGTTGTACAGTGTGCTTGGATAGGTAGTAGGATGTACTTTACTGTTAATACAGGTCCAGTTCAACCTCCAGGTTCACCAGGTCCTCTAAGCATGTCAGGATTTTCAATCAGTTCGCCGGGTAGTAGTCCGCAACTGGTGTCCCCTGGTCACTTGCCTGTCCCTCATCATCAACCGCAGAGTAGTCATTTTGGTTTTAATTCCGGTACGATCGGTGTGATGGGAGCTTTGACCGGTATATCGTCTTCGAGTGGAAGTCCTGGTGCTTCGATGCCACCCCCGCCGTCTCCTAGCCACGTACCTTCTAATCAACCTCCACCCCCTTTGCCACCCAGATCTCATAGGAAACGAGAAAGTTCTATAAGCGAGTCACCGCAACAGGTAAATTCTATTTACTCTTCATAATAAGAGGAAATATTGTTGTAACGTTATTCATTTGTATTATTTATCATTGGATGCACCAGGCGAGACAAGCACCAAACGCACCGATACTTCCTCCACGGGATAACACGTTTCCACCGCCATTACCACCACGAAGAGACTTGCCTCCGGTTACGTTACCGCCTCGCCTTCCTGCTACCTTGAATCCAAATTGCTCGGCGCTACTCGCCAGGCGGAATTCCACGTTGGAAAACACGTGTTCGAGTGCCGTTCACACGCGAAGACACATGTCTTTCAACGGGCCAAGTCCTACTAAACTTCCACCTACGCAACCTAATGGTAAACGATTGCAGTTGAAGAACTATGTACACATAAATCTTTTGACACATTATTATTTTACATCTACATTGTATATCGTGTTTCAGGATCGGTAACGCCTAGATTACCACCAAAACCGTTGCCAGGACGTCCACCGACCACCATGTTTAATTTCAATGCTCCTCCTGGATCTAGTTAAGTGTTACATTTTCCTACCTCTAACCTAAATTAAACCACATCTTTTGGAAATCGAGATTTAGTCCAGTCAGGAGGATTAACCGAGTCGAATTAATTGTACGGTGTGATTGTTACTGTAAATTGATAGAACCGTGTAACTTTCTCAAAGAGGGTTTTAAACGAGCACAAATTTTAATTCAAGGCTTATTAATATATTTACTGTGACTAATTACCACTTGAAACCAGTAAATATATTAATACAGATCAATCAAGGTGAAAGATCATATCTGAATACGGCACATACGTGATGAGATGCCGTTACATTCCTTTTTTTTGATCATTTCTCTTTTAACACGTGTGACGCTATTTTTATTGAAAGTTTATTTTTCGAAAAGATATAGAACATTTTATCGTATATAGTATATTTTTAGAGATTTTTTTAATAAGCAAATATACATATAATCACTAAATGGAAAGTTTTTTATTATTTAATCAACTCGGTTGCTATTTATTTTGAAAGACATCTAAAACGAAAGGACTTGTACAAATCGCTTGAACGACGAATGTATTAATATCTAATGGTTCAGATCTATGGAATATTTTTATAAATTGAACGATATCAACGAAGTTTATCTGATAATTTTACATGTTTGAAACTTGTGCCGTAAAGTATATTGTAAAGTAAAAACAGAGAAAATGATTTTTCTAACGATAAATCTTGCAAACCGTACATACTATAGAATTAGTGGCAATGTAACGATACCTTTCGCTGAGATTCCTTAAAAATAAAATCAATCGACGTAACTTTAGCACAAAAGTAATAATATCAATTGCAAGAATCTGCGTTACAATAGAGATTAACACAGATTGTTACAAATTATTATATTTGTAGGCAAGTTAAGAGAAAAACGAGAAATTGTTCCGCGTTTGAAAATTTCACATAAAACGACGAATGTTCTTAATAATTTAATCTTTTAACGGGACATATTTTTAATTAAATGACAATTAAATGTTTTATATGTATATAGTAACCGCTTTCGCAGACTATTTGGAATGTAGGATACATTTCATCGCAGCCGTTTACAGGAAAATAATCATGGTTATTGAATTTCTTTGATGTCCATCAGATATGAAAGAGATCCAACTGAATGGACTATCTATCGATTTCGGTCTGAACGGTCTCCTTTTCTTTTAAAAAAGAATCCCTAATCTATCCCTCAACACAACTGTGATACACTTTTAGATTTTAAAAAGGAAACAGAAGACGCAAGAAAGTGCAGTATGGAATGATTCATAGGCCAATATGCATATAAATCGAATCAATAGAAAGAAAAAAAAAAAAAGAAGTAAATATGTACATGTATATTATTATAAATATATTCTATAGTAATTATTGTAATAATGTCAAGCGTAAGACAGAGAATGAAATATTGAAATTATGTACAATAAAGAGTATATTGTGTAGATTTTTAGAGAATCTTTCCATCCCTTCTATAACACCTAAGAATTTCTGTGCAACACCGCTGGAATGATTTATTGACAGTCACGTTGAAAATGATACACACCGTTGTAAAAGACTACAAACATACATTATATACACGATTTTGTTTCGTTAAAAATGCAACGCGTTCAAACCTCCAGCTCCTCGTTGAAAAGTTACGAGATCAAAAATTAGAAACAACAAGACTTGCTACTTTTATCAAGGGACACTCTATTCATACTTGCACCATTAACACTTCTATGTAAAATTCTATGAATAAAATATTCATTTTCGAAAATAGAGAATTGCGTTTATAAAAGAGGTACAATAAGTTAATACTGATAAAGTTGGTGTCGTAAATCACACATACACGTATATCATTTTTTAAGTGTTCAAGTCTTTCTAAATAAGTAACAGTGTATTCTCGAGAAGCTTCAAAATACTTTTTGGCCTTTATCACCTCGTTGTGTTCATTGTTTTTAACTCATTACTAAAATATCACAATTATTGTTTCAGACATTTGTACTTACTTCGTATAAACAGTACTTACCTAACTGTATGTACATAAAGTAGAACATACATAATTAACACGCTTTCGAACGGATAGATAAAATATTCTAAAAAATGTATTTAAGTACACTTCTCGGTGAGAACGCGTAATTACTTATTAAGTTTCAAGAGTATATATATGATTATACGAATCATGTTACCTCCCACACAGTAGAACCATCGCTGTTCCTGTTCTGCCTGGAAGTTACATCAACGTGAGCGTCGAGGCCATCGCTAAGTTTGCTGAATCGTCTGGCCCAGCTACCTCTACCACCGGCTGCAGCCCTTCCGATGCTTCCTGCTTCTCTGAGCATCGAGAGGATATCATCCTCGTCTTCCCTGCTCTTCAAACCTTTCTCGTATTTCGCTTCTTGTGCGAGCAGACGTTCGCGTGCCAATTGTGTCGCCAAAGCTTGAGGCAAGGCTGGTATCACGTAGCTCATTATACCAGTCAAAGCAAAGACCTAATAAATTAATGCACGATGTCATCTAGATATTACTTAAATTTCTTTCCAACATAATCCCTCTGTAAACTTACGACATGCTCGAAAACAACAACGAAGGCTAAACGAGCTGCGAAAACATGCCAATACTGCGGACTAAGTCCGTACGGATCAGTTTTATGATCCGGACCGTTTCTATAGCCTCTGTATTGACAAGTTTCCGGATGCTTCTCCTTCATGTCGCTCTTCATGTCATCCCGATAATCGGACGTGTTGAATTCCGACAGAGAACTGTCGATGTAACCGACCAAATCGTTCGTCGGCGAGTAAACGATCGCGTACACGCTACGCGGAATGAAGTCCGACGTGTAAGCGATAACGAATGCCTGTCAATCAGATTGTCATAAAAAAAGATTGATGAAATAATTACATTTCTTTTCACCGTTACATACATTCGACACCACAGCGACGTAAGTTACTCCACGTAGAATCCCGTACCAAGCTCCTATGTCCTCAACCCTCTCAGCCAACGGCCTCCTCGATTCTTTCACCATTTTATAAGCGTCCAAGCGTATCTCTGCTATGTTGTTCAATAACGCGAACAACGGCGCTAATGGAAATGCGGCGACGAACAGGGTGACGAATCCGTATTGTAGAACTGTGCAGAAACATGTATATTTTGATGTGAAAGAAAGGAATCAAGTTTATAGAAGATTGTTGGAATATCACTGACTCATTTCTAGGTACTCGTCGAATAAAGCAAGTCTTCCAGGATCTTGTAGTTGATAATCTCTCTCCCAACAAGTGTACGGACGAGCATGGTCTTTCGTAGCGGCTATGTGATTCCTTTTACGCCACCAATTCCACAATTTCGGGGATAATATCTCCACAAAATTGTTGAAACACTGTTTACCCACCATTATGATGGCGAGTTGTATACAGACTTCTGATAGACAACCTGCTGGATCGCAGACGTCTGTTTTGATCCGAAAGAACGCGGAGGTTCTTGCATCTGCATCGCCCGGATGAACGAAAAACCTCCCCTATGAATGATACTCTTAAATAATCGTCTCTTTATTGTGGATAAGCGTGAGTTTACCTTGAAGAAGGCGATGTAAATGAGAGACGAGTAAAAATTGACGAATTCGAACAGAAATATTTTGAAAGTGAAACTGGATTCGTATTCGGTCTGAGTTCTAGGATTCTCCATATTAACCATCCATCGTGCTAAACGGTGATACACTCGTGTGAGTATCATGATGATTATCAAGTTCACGAGAGCGGCTGTCATCGAGGTGAAGATTTTTGCGTGCTTTTTCAAGAATGTACCACCGCCGCTGTAAAACACTGACACCAGTGATATGCGATAAATAATGGTTCCCAGTACTGCGCCCAGAACCACGCATATCTAAGCACAAATTTGACTGATATTATTACTTTAAATAATTGGGTAGGCAACGTTCCTTGTTTTGAATTTTATCAAATTGATTACCATGAAAAATACCATGGAACCCGTGGCACAGAAACGTACGGCTTTAGACCAGGTTGGCAAATAAGGTTCCCTTTCTCTGGTCACAGGATTTATTCGAAACGTTTTCACGGTGGTTTCGAATTCAGGTCTGGGTTCCTCGTCGCTTTCGACGTTTTGAAGATCCCATTCCCACATTATAACAGCCTGCCTTCGTTTCCATAGTTCGAGAAAGGTTGTAGCTATAAAAATAGTAGAATCACATGAATGAATTATTTTCCATTGATCGTGTAATCGTTAGTCTAAATACCGTACCCCAAAATGACATAAAAATAGCGAAGAATACGGTGGCAGGATTATCGAATAAATAAGTTAATTTTGAAAACATACAAGATTCACCAAGTATCTGGTAGTCGCATGCTTTGTCGCAAAGAGGGCATAACGTGATATTTCCTAAATAAGAAATTCAGTAAATAAAGAGATTAGTCAATTAGATAGGTTATAATTAATAAAATAACAGGTATTTGAGATACTACCTGCTACATTAGAATCACATATCTCTTTGCTAGGTATGTTATCAGCACCCTCCATGCTTCCCACCCCATACATGAAGCACAACAGTCCAACGATCGCTGGTGGGTACAAACATTTCGTGTAAAATCCTAACCAGGCAAAATAAAGTCCTACCTTTTCGCCGAAATATCGTCTGATCAACCAAAGTGGTTGTTTTTTATACCTACAAACAGGAAACTAATTTTCATCATAGGTGCACATATTATTAACACCTCGCCAACCGAACGATAGGTAAGATGTTAAAAGATATAATTTATTTCTTTGAAAGAAACAGATATGACTCATTGAATTACCATTGAGATGGTCTAGCCCATATTAAGTACAATAAATGTCTGTCAAGAATTTCTCCATTGAGCCCCGGTTTATTATAAGGACCCTCGTGAAGAGAATAACAATCAAGGTAACTACCATCGGCTAAAAGTCTACGAATGCCAACCTTCTCGTGTGTCTCGTCGTACCTCGCCCTCAACAGTATTTGCATAACTATCAGTGATCTTTGAGCAGGCGTATAAGCTGTATCCCTGTCTTTTATAACGAATCTAGAGAAACAAAAACAATTGAATACAAGACGAAGTATAGACGTTTCACTTGTGTCTTTATATCATTTACCTCTCCTCCCGATCACCGGAATCAATACTATTATAAAAACTAGGTTCGGTAGCATATTTTTTAGTGTCCCAAGTATGCAACGTTTTTATCCACCTTATACATCGCGTCCACTTGTCCCATAGCTTCGGTCTTTTCTTCGTATTCTCATTATCCTACATTTTAGATATTGATAAATGATTGTTGTAAGAAGATAATGGGTATCGCAATGATGTCTCCAACGCACCCAAGCTTTAACAGATATCGTGATGAACCTTTTGGTAGGTAGCTTCAGGTTCATCACTTCAGCGTATTGAACTTTGATCTTCCATGGTATGTGCAACTTGAGAAAAAAAGTTTTCCCATCGAACGAGTTCTCCTTTGGTTCCAGTTCAAGCTGCAACCCCTCTTTCAATAAATTCTGCTGGAACACCCGTCTCTGTTCTTTTCGACGCGCTTCTATTTCAGTCATCACGCCGTTATTATCTTCTTGATACACCAGTACCATATCGATTCGTCTACGGCCATCCCTGTAAACGTGACATCACATTAGGTAATGGACGTGATCGTGAATCGATCCATTTTATTTTTGGAACAAAAGAAAAAAAGGTGTCTATAATAGGAAACTAGCATGACCAATAAGAGGACTCCAATCTAAAATTAAGTACGACCAGGATAAAAATAAGCTTCGTTTGACGTAAACTTATTATTAGATGTAGACTTGGTCATTTTTCAGTCACAGCTGACAGGTGTAACGATATTAATAATTAAGTAATCATACAAGAAAAAATTTTCATGTGTACATTGGGTTTGTTTTGCTCTCCTAGCACCAGGCTAACATAACATATGATAACGTGAAGAGGTATTCTTTAAATTTGTTAATAATTAATCCAGGGTAGAATTTCTACAAAAGTCATGCTTAAAAGTTCCCAGGACACTCTAATAAATGATCACGAAGGGGATTGTCCTTCAGTTCTTGGATATTTCCTTGCTCTCCTGTTAATCTGGTAGCAAGGTAACAGACTGAAACACAATCAGATTTATAGAAAATACATTACGCACCGAAAATAGAGGGTTTCAGGATCTATTTCCGCCTCCGAAGACGAGTCCTTTTGTAACAAAGAATCTCTCGGTATATCGTCAGGAAATATTGGAGGGTCTAATAGTGGTGGAGAATTTTCAGGCGTTGCCGGTGCCGTCAGCTTGGGTCCTGTGAAAAGTAGCAATTTTTCTAAGTACCTGTTCTAAATTATTAACAATAGAATAATATTTCACGAGGTTTCTTGACATCTAAAATTGATGATCCTTAACACTGTCTTCACATTTATCAATCTTCCACTATTCGGCTTCTGGTTTTTAAGACCACGCTAAAGTTACATATGAAGTATTAATGCCTATCGTTCGTGACATAGTGACATTCATATGCATATTGATCGTAGTTTATTGACTTAAGCCTATTTCCACCGTAACATGCTATGAATACGTATCTAGAGATACCGGCTATGCAAATACAGTCCCTGGGCATCGAATTAGGGTCACGTACGAAAATTTCACTTTTATGGCTTAAATGGTATGTCATGGAAAATCGTGTTAGGTCATTCAAATTATTACTAAATACATTGATAACCAGGTGTATACATGGCAATAGATTTGTTACTATTGTGATGGAAATAAAATTATGTGGGCGATGAGCAAAAGACTTGTTTACAACTCTCCAAGCACCACATTATCCGAGTTGATAACAAAAATTACATATATTTAGGAAAATAACGAAGATATAAAAAGCATATGATAAAGTTGTCATCAAAGCAAAGGGTGGATTAATAGTGCTATGTACAGTAGTAGTGTATTATGTTAGTAGCTAATAAATTATATTATTACAATTTAAACAGGCCGTTTAATTTTATGGTAAACGTGAAAAATGCTGAAAATTTGTGGTAGTACTAATTCGATGCTGTATATAATTATTCTATGCCCTTTGTAATTTCTTCTAATAACTTTTAACCACACAAATTCTTTCGCATCTTCTATGCTTTTCAAGGATTGCCTGTTAATGCTTTTACATAATGCAACAATTTTTTTTAATCAATGAAATGGTACCAAACCTACCAAAAGCGTCTCGAGCGGTCAGGTTTGTTCCCGAAGGATAAACGCTGGCTCTAGACAATTTTCGATTAGCTTTCGGCGTTTGGATGCCGTTTTTGTCCGTCTCGTATATCATTTCTCTGTTCTCCATAGCCTGCGTGCTTTTGTTCACGCGCGGTGAATTCGATTCCATCGAGGATCTCCTTTTTTGAGGCGTCGAACACGCTGATGCCACTCTGGAGGATACATTTTCTGTTTTCGCGTTCGCCTCGGAATCATTCGGGCTGAGGTCAGTAAAACTAGTCGTATTGTTAGTAGATGCACTCGGTCGTCTGCTGTGATTGTTCTAAAAAAAAAAAAAACAATCAACAAGTTATTTACCATGAAACAATTATTTGAATACCCTATCAATTGGAATTTTATTTTTAACTACTCGTTTCTTAATGAATTTTTATTTCACACGCTTTTAATTAATATAGCGCACCGCCTATCTCATTCGTTTTAATGCGACAAATGCTTTTAACATCTAAATTGATGTCGGGTAAAATTCTATTACGATACAAGGGGGTAACTATTAATAGCAACATTAATAACGCTTTACGTATTTCATTTCGCTGCGCGTTTTAACGTTTCGTGCGTCCGCTATTCAGAACTTTATCCATTGCAATCTCATTGTTCCTCGAGATCGATGAAACGAGCAATATTTAGCTCGAGAAACGCCTACCGCGTTAACATTTCATAATTTTCTGGATAATTTAGTAACGCGTGCCTTGCGTTTTTCTATCGTCATATACAATTACAATCTAGATGGGAACACGCTCGGCTTTTATTATTTCAATATCTTCGTATTCATCGCATATTTTCGTACATGCATTTTTCTCTAACAGCATAAATAGTTTACGTTATACATAATACCTGTGTTTCATCTTCCACTCGAAGTTCGTTGTTGTCCATTGTGCTTGATGAAACTTGATAAACAATATCGGGAACAATCACCAGTGACTGTTAGAAGAAACGAAATTTCCACGATAATGATCCGGATCGATATTGCCATTCTGAAAGTCGAGACGATAATAGAGTGCCATTTCCTAATTAAATCATTATTTGAATATGTAAATTTAGTTTCCTATGACCATTATTTAATAAAATTAATCTGCTATGATTCAAAATAACAAATAAAAAATTATATAAATTTTCAATGGGGGGCCCTTGTAACACATAATGACCGCGATGCTCTTTGAAAGTTCCTCACGGAAGCATTATTTTTCAATCGGAAATTGAACACGGCGCGCCGTATAATGAATTGTCTTCGCGACTTTATCCAACTTGTTAATCGATCAATAAGCCATTACGACTAAGGACGAGCGATCACCAGAAAACTTAGTTTCCGTTTCGATCGACATTCGTACGTAGAACTTGCAGTAATCAGTCCTGATCGTTCATTGCTAAGTAAACAAAGATCGATCACAGTTTGAGACTGCGACCTCGCCACGATTCTACGCTCTTTTTCAATTATGAATGGAGACACCAGTTAAGTTACTCTATAGTTATCACCTTTCTCGACCTAAGCAGGTTCGCGTGCCCTTGGCCGACGAGAAAATCCGCTGACATTCTGGTTAGGTCCTTTTTCTCGGATTTAAAATGAATCTACTGGTCCGTTGCACGAAACGGAAACTCCTGGACAGTTATGTACGACCTCAGCATTTTGCTGATTCAACAAATACACGTAGCTTCCAATCCATTGCTGTTTCTTTTCATTCTTCTCAATAATTCTATATCTTTCTCTTCGAGTTATTCGCTTATCTTCTACGGTCCCAATCGGCAACGTTCCATGAATTTGAAAATTCTATAATGTCACGTTGCAGCCGAAGATCAAGTATTCCGTCGCGATTATCAGCTGTAAATACACTTTGGGAAAATATATTTATAAATCTGACCAATTGGTGTACAAATTGACAAGACATAAATCACATTTCAATATCCCTCGGAAGACAAGATACGTCTTTTCGATTCTTTGATTTTTCTGACATTCTGAAAAGTCATCGTTTCCTCTTGAAGACATATTCTTGTACAGAAAATATGAATTTCCTCCCAACTGGTAATTAATTAAGGATCACTCGAAACATCTATCACTTCTTCCTGATTGCTCGTACAATTTCTTCAACCTAATTATACAAAGTTAGATTTCACATTTTCAAAATTTCACAAAGGTATCCTTAACAGTTGTAACGACGCCCGTGGCTGTCAGGTGACGCCGCTTGCTTCCGCCGCAATACTGTGACACATACTGACCTCCTCGTGGCAGGATGATACTTATATGTTGCACACATGGCTATGCGTGTGTTATTTACGAATAGTAACTATACACATGCCTTTGCACGAATAGACACACGTGTAATTGCGAACGTGTTTCGATGTTTCTTCTACATATGCTCGTACCAGCTCGTCTTTGCTCTACAACAAACTAGAATAAGCGTTATTTCATTCGTGTATGTGTGCGATGGATGACTATGAATGTTTCTAATAAGGATTTGTCATCGTATCGATGCATCACGTTACCTTACGTATAATAAAATCTAACCAACAACATTCCTTCCTCTTTCTTTTTGCATCGAATGCCATTTTCGTGTACTATTTTTTCGTTTATACACGTGCTTATATTTATAAACATATTATACTTGTTGACACCGTACAGCATCTATATGTAATACGGATATTGGTGTGGATGCCTCACACATGCGAAAGGATATCAAGGATTTTAACCCTTGTGTAGGTTTGTGATCGACGAACACAACGAGACAATAAGGTTTTCGAATCGCTATGGTTACCAACCGTGCACAACATGTGTTACGTATCATGTCCGTATATTGTCCAGTGATTCTTTCACGAACTTGAAATACCAACAAGGGTGATGAATATGTATTCGCATGCGACATCCTGAAACGAGAAATTTTACGATTAGATTTAATCATCGATGCGTGTCGAAAATAAGTTTATTTTATCGTATTTAAATATACCGTCTTTATATTTGTAAATTGTAATAATAGAATCATAAAATAATGTAATGTAGCTGTTTGTAAGTACGTAGGATGATCCGATTTCATTATCGAAATCAAATTTCATCATTACATACCTACAAACTGATAAATATATGGAACTAGTTACGTGGATTTGTATTGTCGATTTTCCTGAAATAGTACACTGTATAGATTCCTGACATTGTCTATAACTTAAATAACTTAACCTTTGTAATTAGATCAATCTGAAAGTCACATAGAATACTTGTTATTAAAGAAGTCATCAGTAGAATATGTCAACTTTATAACCCTGAAATGATACTATAACATTAATACGGTAATAAAGAAAATGCTAAAAGACTTACGAAAGATACCAAGTTATTTAAGGATAATTTCTTTAGTTGTTAACTTTATTTTTTATATGTAATGAACTTTAGTATAAAAAGTAATACAGCATTTAAATGATTTTTTTCTAGTGAATCTTAATAAAATAACAACTTATTATTTTAAAAAAAATAAAAAATATTAAAGAAACTTACTGTTACATGCGGTACATTTAACTGTACTACAATTTTGAACTAACACAGGGAGTCATTTGTACAACTATTGACCATAATCAATTTTATCATTTACAAATATGCAAACATAGATACTAGAATAGTTGATACAAGAATTATCCAATTGATATATTTAATTCATTTCAAAAATATCAACTGTTTAATTTTCAGTGTTTCGCTTGATCCGAGATGTAGCGTCATTCGCCATACTTATTTTCAGTGAAGGCGGTATTGGGTGTGTCATAATGAAGATTATGTATATAATTTTGGTGTTTGTCTTTTTACAAGCAGGTAAATGATTAAATGACATGCACGTACTACTTTGTGCGTACCAGAAATTCTATACAGTTATAAATTTATGTTTGATTTGAACATAAATCAACGAAGCGAAACACTGATGAATATTTTATGTTGTTTGATGTTTACTAAAATTTTCTTTGCACTATAATTTTAATTGTAGTAATGTGATACTTGTTTATGGTCGCACAATGAATTACACTTTGTGTTACATTTGCAATCTAGCTCTTGTTACATTATTAAAATAAAACATATTGACAAAAAGTTTTATCATTTTTCAGTTAGTGGACAACGTACACCAACCATATCCCATATAACTCAAGAGCAAATTAAAGATATTGGAGAGAGTGTTGAATTTCGTTGCTCTGTTCAATATGCACAAGATTTCCCAGTAATTTGGATAAAAATTAATAAAGATAGCGCGAATGATCAGTTACCTCTTTCGCATGGTAGTTCATTAATCATAACAGACACAAGATTTGCTCTGAAACACGATGAGGCAACATCTACCTTTATATTACAGGTGATTTAGATCATATGATTAATATATACAATAACTTCAATTTTAGTTATATAAATAAATAATATGAATATATTTTAGGTGAAAGACATACAGGAAACTGATGCTGGATTTTATCAATGCAAAGTTTTAATATCCTTAAATAATTATGTAACTGCAAATGTTGAACTGCAAGTTCGCAGACCACCTGTTATTAGTGATAATTCTACTAGATCTCTTGTAGTTAGCGAAGGACAACCTGTGCAACTTGACTGTTACGCAGGTGGATTTCCTTCGCCTAGAATCTCATGGCGTAGAGAAAACAATGCTATTTTACCAACTGGTGGATCAATTTATCGGTGGGTAATTTATACATTTTATTATTGTATGCTTGTTTGAGTTTTCTGTTAAAATGAAATTGTTACAGTGGGAATACATTGAAGATTTCGGCAATTCGTAAAGAAGATCGCGGAACGTATTATTGCGTTGCCGAAAACGGAGTAGGACGAGGTGCTAGACGTAACATTAACGTGGAAGTTGAATTCGCACCTGTGATCACGGCACCCAGACCACGACTTGGTCAAGCTTTACAATATGACATGGATTTGGAATGTCACGTAGAAGCTTATCCTCCACCAGCTATCATATGGTTAAAGGATGATGTTCAATTGTCGAATAACCAGCATTATAGCATATCACACTTTGCAACTGCAGATCAGTATACTGATACAACCATCAGGGTGATAACAGTTGAAAAGAGACAATATGGAGAATATGTTTGCAGAGCTGCTAATAAATTAGGAACTGCAGAAACAACGGTCGAACTGTTTGGTATGTATGGTATTCTGAAACATGTACAAGTATGTTTGTTTATATAACGTAATACTAAAAATAATGACTTCATTTTTCAATCAGAATGCTAGTTGCAGAACATTGTAGATAAATGTGTATGTATTTATGGTTTGTGCATGATGATGTTTATTATACTTCTACAGTTCTATGTAATTTCGATGTAAACATTTAGTAATTTATATCAAATTTAATTTGCATTTATGAGCAACAATTTTATTATCGCCATTTTATTTCGGCTGTTTTATTGGTTTCTTGAGTTTAGTAGTTAGCATGTTCTAGATGTTCCTTATTTTTTTTGCGCAGAAACATCTGTCCCTGTGTGTCCACCAGCTTGTGGTCAAGCTATTTATTATGGGGCTGGAGTAGAACGAGTTTCTTCAGGACTTTTGGTAGTCTTAGTTTTATTTATTACGGTTTCTCTGAGGTATGTTGTTTTAAAAATATTTTTTCGCTGCTTCTTATTTCGAGTTTTATAGTTTATTTAGATCATAGGGTGATCCAGTACCGTTTGTAAATCGATCTCGTAATTTTGCAGAAATTTCCACTCCCAATATTAATTATCCCGGACTTCAATGGGCAACAGCAAGTCGATGCAGCTCCTCCAAATGGTTGCTGTTATTACTATCAGGGTTGGGAAAGTTACTTTATAAAAATATCTAGTTACACTTACAGTTTTTTCGCTAAAAGTGTAACTAGTTACAGTTACAAGTTACCAATTCTAAAAAGTAACTCGTTACAGTTACAGTTATTGAAGAAAAGTAACGAGTTACTTGACAGTTTTTGGAATAAAAATATGTAAAAGGATCCCGGACCACTGATAAATTTATTTTCTTGCTACAATTATAATTCTATAAAGTTACGCATAATACTCAATAATACCTAATATTTTACTCAAAATTTTAATAAAAGTTTTTATTACATTTTAACAGTATTTGGTATTGAATTATGTCATCAAGGAGGAGTCCTCTTTGTGGCGTTATGACGGAACCACCGACGCTAAACATCCGTTCAACAGATGCACTACGCGGAAGTGCCGTGTTATATTTTATAAAATGTTTCTTGATTGCACTGTTTAACATACTGATATTGCAGTTACTCGATTTTAAGAATCGATACAATTCTTCTTGTACGGACTCAATTTCATTGGTTTGCTTGTTAAAAGCAAAAGAATCATCGTAGTCGTCGAGATTTTGTTCAAGAATTGGAGAACTCTCAGCAGAACGGATTCCTAATAAATCTTCTAAATAGAGACATTTTTCGTTTTATTATGAAGATCGAAATATATATAAAGTAACTTTTAAACTAACTATTAAAACAGTTACTAGCTATCAAAAATATGTAACAAAAGTTAAGTTAGAGTTACCGAAAATAAGTAACTGTAACTGTAACTTCGTTAAAAATAACGAGTTACTTCCCAACCCTGACTATGGTTTACCATTTTTCATAAATACTATACATAATATTATATTATACATACATAAATCTAGGGGCCTGATTTGTTTTTGACTCTTTCTAGATAATTATTTTTATAGTTATTTACAAACGAAATTAATTGACGATTAGCGAATATAACGAAATTCTTAGGGGCCAGCAATATAATGCATGTTGGCAAGGTACAAACTTACATTCCAGATAAAGTACACAGTTATGCCTAGTTAAAAGGAAGAAAATTAATATTACCGAGTACCAATAGTTTGATATATATCCTTACTAATATATAAAAGTGAAAATGCTGATCGTTATTTCCTCTTTCACAATTAAACGGCTAAACGGATTTTAATGAAATTTGCACTGTTGGAGAGCTTATTCTTTCAAGATGGCCATAGGCTAACAAAGAAGCATTAAAGAATTAGTTTGGTAATACTCGGCATTGCAACCTAGACTTTTTTTTTTGGCATTCGTTTTCTTATTCATGTGTTACGTTGCACTTGCCAAGTGGAAACCGTCATGTTTTAGAAATGTAACAAGATCGACTTACCAAATCGCTGTTTTAATAATACAAGATAATATAATAGCTTGCTAAGGTTTCTGTGTTCGCCTGATGATTTCTAAAACACCAAAGAATGATAAGACTTTTGCCGATCTCGCACCCGTCGCGGCGAAAATTGAACCAAACGAAACGAGAACATTCCTTTGTTCAAATTTGTCGTTAGATCCTTTCGTCAGGCAATTTCTTGGAATTTCCGATAGTGTTTATTGTCTTAAACGACCCTTGATTTCAAACGTCGTTCGCTTTCGTAAGGGTTCTCATTCCTTTCTGTCATTGTTTAAATACATTTACATTCGTCCACTTTTTCATACTATCATTTTGTTCATATAACAATGATCCTTGTTGGATCGGCTGAGAGAGAAAGAGCGTTCTACAAAAGAAGTTATCATGGTCTTCCTATTTCTACTCAATTAATCGGGAAAATTCCCGTAATGCGAAGCACTGGTGTTTACGCTAACGTCTATGTTTCCCTCGAGCGAACTCAAGTTTTTGTGCGTTGAGATGTGTTACAAATACTATTGAAAACTATTATAAACTCAAACTCTCCCTTGTACATCCTCACATTGAGAAATTCTCGTAACCCAAAAGGGCTTGATAAGGGACGCAAAGCGGATAAATTTCAATTTTTCGCCGGGGCGTAACACATGTCGTATTAGATGACAAAGAAATATTTGTCATTAAAATAAAAAAAATGCGCGAACACTCTCCAAACGTCACTGCTGTTAATCTAAAGAGGAACAAATGATCAGACACTTGCACTTTTATATATTAGTAAGGAAGTAGGGATAATAATAGTTGATTAAAATTCCCGGGCAGAGCCGGGTAACGCAGCTAGTTATAGATATGTATATTATATCATCTTTTTCATATATCAGTGCAACTGATAAACACGAACGAAGTGATTGATAATAATGTTACGAATATATTATATATAGGTATATACATATAACGATGCAGCCTTCCAGACAGTTCTGGTAGGAGCTCAAAAGTGCAGCAATACAATTTAAATACTTGTTAATGCTCTATTAGAAGAATTGGAAATAATATTAATAATAACGATACTCTATAGCTACCATGTTATGTAAAGTTCGGCAAACGAGAAGGGAAAAATGAAATGTTAGTGTATCACGATCACGATGCGAAGCATGTAATTTGTTTTAGATCTAGATTTAATGGTTATATATTGTAGATGAAATTATTTATACGATCTGAACTAGAATATTTTATATCGTGTGTTATTAAGCGCATAGACTGCATACTCATAACAGGGATCTTTCGTCGTCTCGTCGAGACAAACATGCGGTACTATAAGCACAGATGAACCTAGAATCTCAAGTATGTAAGATTTTTGATGACCTTTTTACGAGTTTGCAATTTTATATTTACCTTTAGACTAATATGGATTTTAATAAATGAAAATTTCAAGTACCACCAAATCTTGTGACGTTCAATCAGTTCCCCTTTTAGAATTATACTATAATTCGATCAATGTATAAATTTTATTTTATTATTTCTTTGACAATCGTTTGATAATCTTATTGTAATTTGAAAACAGCTTTACTGATTTCACCTCGCTTCAGTGCTTCCAGCGCTTTAGGGTATTCGGATAAAGAATAAGTCTTAATGCATAGCTTATCGTAATTAAGATACGTATCGGCCATTGCTTGCAACAAAGCAATTCCTTTATGGAATGTAAACGGATTTATGTTTACGCCTACAATCTTCAACTCCTTCATGTAAATCTGTTGAGAGATAACGAAATTTTAAGCTATTCGATATCCGGCTGCTTGCGATTCCTCGGCAATGACTTGCTTCTGGATAAATAATGATTCAAGTATCTGGAATAATGACGTTAGAGTTATGAGTAAGTTACCTGGAATGGCTCGATGGTCAATTTTGCTTTAGGACTAGCCACACCGAACACGCAGAGACGACCACCGCGGTTTAACAATGGTACAGCCGCTTCCATGGCTGGACCTGAACCGCTACAGTCCACAACCAAGTCGAATCCACTTTTTAATTCTGTTGGACTTTTTACACCGTAGTCCAAGCCTGAAATATCATTTTTTTGTTTTTTTCCAATTTTGCATCGTCATTCGACCAGGATGTCTCCTCTTTCATTTGAACTTCAACATTTCTCAAATATAGAATTCTGATTACCAAGTTTCTTCACCGCGTTTCGTCGCTTTTCTTGGGGCTCGCTGACCGTGACGGTTTTCCGAAGACCGTGTAAATGCAACAGACAAGACCACAAAAGACCAATTATCCCAGCGCCGAGTACGAGAACGTTAAGACCCACGTTCACGGGATTGATCTTGTCCCATCCGTGAGCCAAACAGGAGAGTGGCTCGGTAAGGGCAGCTTGTGCCATTCCAACCCCCTCGGGCAATAGATAAACCTGACCGAGAGTAAGACAAAGTAGAAAAAAAAGAAAGAAGTAACAAAAGATTCACCGAAGGTTTCGAAGGGACGAATCTCCAACAGGTACGAACCTGACCTTCCGGAACGACAGCGTGGGTGGACCATCCGCCATCTCTGAAGATTCCTACGGTGTTGTTTATACCGCCGTTCTCGCAGAAATGATAATCTCCAACGCGACAATAGTCGCAGAGATTACAACCACTGTTAGGATCGACCACCACTTTCTGACCAACTTTCAGATTTCGCACCGCGGAACCAACCGCGTCGATCGTGCCGGAAAATTCGTGGCCGAGGGTGAGAAGGCCTTCCTTCTTGCACGGAAACGTTCCCTGAAAGGAATTTCATTTTCCAACGATATTCGATTCGATTTTCTCTCCCCATGCCTACGGTAATATTCGAATCGATGCAACGGGGCTGCAGGGAGGCTAACGCGTGATCGATAAAATGCATCGCGATATCGTGTTCGGCGAATATTTATCAACGAGAAACGTTGCATCACGGGGCCACTCCGATGAAAATACTTTACTTGTACGTGTCAAGGAATTATGCAACATTCTCGTGGCCCCAGCACGCGTTTCAAAGTCACGTAACCTCGGATAAAACAGAAGTTTCTTTGTAAAACATGCGAAGAGAAATGAAGATTACGGTCCGACTTACGGCGCGATATTAGATAGGGAGATTGATACACGTGAAATATCTCTGAAAAGAGAGATAACCTTCTAAAAATTTTATGTTAAAATCTAGCAAAACCGAACGATTTTCAATTTTCGTAAAATTAAAAATAAATTTTCAATATTTTGTTCGGGAGGGTGAGAATATCACGGCGATAGTAGGGTGGTAACGAACGAATATAAATGACCCACGTCTAATATATGAAGATCGGTCCCACAGATCCCGGAATAGGCGACCCTGACACGAACTTCATTGGGTGCCGGCACAGGAACTTCCGCCCTCCGCAACGCGAGCGTTTTCTTCGTAACATCGAAACTTAAAAATTCCATCGCGACGGCTCGCGTTGCTAACGACAGTACTACACTAAAGCGTAACCGCGTCTCTATCAAACATTTATATCCCAGTTGCGAAATTAATGTTTTATATATGTTGGTGCCGTGCGCCGATATTAATCACGAAACGTACTCAAGCGAGCTTTTTGTCGGCCCCTCGAGCCAACCACGATCGTCGAAGAAGAATTTGAATATTTGGCGACAGATGTTCTAAGCACACGACAATTGAATAAGTGTTTAAATCGAATATCAGGGACGAGATAGATAATGATTCGTTTCAGTGATGTGACTTTGGGCGATCATTTGACATTTACAATTTTAAATTGTAAATTTTCCTGTTTCTACTCGCAGATTTTGATCAAATACGAATTTTCATATCTCCGATCGTTAATTGTCGAAATATTATAAAGTATCATTGATAGCTTGTCAGAAATTATCAGACACCTTATCCGAATACGTAATCCTTTAATAACTACAAACATTCGAATATTGTTTGAAAAATTTGATAAGAACCTAGAATTTTTCTGCTTATGTTATTAGATTGCGTAGATGTATAAAAATATCATTATCAATGCAAAATAATTCGTAGAATTCAACTTGGAACGAGAGATAATAAACCTTGAAAAGCTGAAAGTCATTCGCCACGTGTATTAGTTCTGTGCGTTCCGAGACGCTAGCTGTTAGAAAATTTAGTTAAAGAAATTTTCTTTAACGAGGGACAACAATAGAAAGATTCTCCAAGGATGGAACCTTTGAACGATATCGTGATTTGTAGTCTTCCTACCTGAAACGATACCTGACCGACACTCGAACAGAGAAAAACTGTTCGAGCAGGTTGATATACGATTCATGGTGTAAATTTCACTCGACAATTGACTTCGTTAACAGCGAAAGCCTCAAAAGGCAAGATGACACTAATACCTTGAATGGGTTTGAAAAATGCACACCTGTACAGGGATGACTCGTCACCCAGTGCCAAAAATTGTATCCTCTTTTTTAATTGAATACAGTTCGACTCACACGTAGTCTGTTAAAAAATTAACGAGAATAGATTGTCTGTAAATTTTTAACAGTTAAAAGATGTAGAAAATTAAAATTGCAAAATGATATTCGCGAATTTGTGTTCGCCGTTCTTGTTACGCTCCTGTGTCAAGTGGTTCGGTGTAATTTACAACCGGATGGTTATAAATCATTGTGGCGGAAAGCGATCCTCAGGCATCGCGTTACAATGTAAACCTGCTGTCAAAGGATCGTAACTGAGACCCTTCGAAACCCTTCGATTATTTTTGACACTTTTCTTCGAATTTTTAGTTCGGGGATCCCTGAGGTGCAGCGACGCGAAAGCAACCCTGTATTCAACCCTTGTGCGGATAACACCGGTTGAAGCTTCGATATTCTAAATTTGTATTTCAAAAACATATATGTAGATGTAACGATGAAAATATAAAAAAATTCTCTAAAGAAACATAGAAAACATCGTACAGTTGACATTGATCGACTTATTTGTCAATATTTTCTCGTTAAAAAATAGACCAAAGTGCATTTGTTTGACACTAACGAATAACATTGAACCTGATGTAATTTTGTTTACTCTACCAACGTCATGGAATATCAAATTAAATATAGCAATGGCTGGCATGTAATTAAAACTCACGGCGCTTTATTAATATATAATTAAATACAAATACACCGTCGTGGGAACTTGCTCTATTAATAAGCAAATTAATAAAACAGCTTGTTACGAATTCTTGAATATGAATAATAAAAACAAAAATGAATTGTCAGGTGTGAAACATCCTCGGTGAAAAATGATCTATTCTTAATGAGTTAGAATATATAAAATATTGGACAACGAATGTTAGGACTGGACGGGGTGGAGGAAGGTGAATTTTTTTCGCAGGCGCTGCAACGTGTATGCGGAAAATTCATTCATAGCCGGTAGAATGGCTCGGGATGAACGAGCGTCCTTCGATTCACGAGAAATTTCGGGTCAACGGGACGGAGCTGGGATAGCTGGCTGTACCGGGAACCGGAAATGAGGTCGGGAATGACGTCATCGCGTTCAGTGGCGTTCATTCAACCCCTGGGAATAAACTGGGTCACCGGGCCAACTCACCCCTTCCCTTGATTGGGTTTGTGAAAACGGTTACTCAGCTCGAGAAACGCATGCATTCACCGGATCGTTCGATCGATTCACCGGAACCTATTTAAGATCGCACAATAGAACGTTCGATTATCGGAATGCCGATTAAAGAGACAATTGATTATCAGGACACTGATTAAGGGAACGACTGATTATATTATCAGAATATTGATTAAGGAAACGATGGAATACCAGAAGTTCAATTAACATTCGATTATCTCGCACTATTGTAAAATCATCGACTATAAAATGAATTTGTTTCGAAATCAATACCACCCTCGTAGCAGGAATTGATCTTCAACGATTTCGAGTAGATTTACAGAAATTTCCGCGTCGAAATAAAAGATTTATGTAACCGATGTTTGTCACTTGTATCGCGTAAATAGGTTCCGTGCTGCTGTTAATAACTTATGTAACCACGATTTTTTTTTCTAATTCTGTTTAGACGATCATCAAAGAGCATTTGCTTATAGGGGTTAATACAACGAGCGGAGCAAAAATAGACGCGTGCAATCCTGGACGCAATCCGAGACGCGAAGGCGTCTAAATGGCGAAAAGATGAATCGCAGAAACAGATGTTGGCCAAACGGAAGTGAGGAAAAAGGAACAGCAGACAGGAATGTGTGAGCGTTTGCTGAGATTCGATCGGTTAGAGAAGAACAGGTGTCGCTCGAATGTATGGTTATTGTTCGACTCTTCTTTTGATTCGTTCGAACAAAGTTAGTTTCCCGTTTTTTCCCGCCCACGTTCGTCTGTACGGGATAAGTCATCTGATATTGTGATCTTCATTTCCGTAAATAGTATTACATATGGAGAATCTATTTTGTTATAAGCGAAATTTCACTCCAAATAACGTTTTTATTTTTTGGAACGTGGTTGCAAATAACATTGCAATGATTACTGTGAAATGTTCTCATTTATTAAGGTCTCCAAGTGTTGCCAAGAAAAATTGCAACGATTCATCACCAGGAGTAGTGGCATTACTTTTTTCTCGAGACTCTTTCCGAAATTACTTGTATGGGATCTAAAAGCTGCCTAAAAAATTAATATGTAATACCTCTAAAGTGAAAAGAGTTTCGGCCAGTGTATCCGCAAGTTACATTCACGTACGTGTAAAAGGGCGAAACAGCGGTTCGTCTTTTGAAAATCCGAAACCCCTGTAAGCCGGAAACGTGCGACCTCTTTCCTTTCCTGCGGAAAAGGGGTTCGAAGGACGAGGGTTGTAAGAATAGAAATCAAACAATTTCTTGGAAGAAACGTTCTGGCGCATATCGTTTTGAAATGTTACGCTTCGAACTCCCTATTCAAGAAACAAGAAATGAATTTTCGAATTGACAAACAATATGTAATATATACTGTCGGTCGATTCGGTTTTGTTGTTTCATATAATTATCACGGCTGATAACGACGAAACCATACGTCGTACATTCACTTTCGCAATACCTAAGATTATTAACCCCGATGAAAAAATAATTTTAACCTTCGCTTATCAAGCTCCGACTTTCAATACAAACCGACGAAACATTTTTCATACAATTATAATTAAATGTTTACATTCGTGTAGTGGAACTTCTTTCCCTTAGGGAAACTTATTTTGCTGTACATGACAAGATACATGAAAAAATATTTAATCTCTCGAGAGACGGCATCGAAAGCCGAAAGGAAGCGGAATTTTTCCACGACCCAAACAATTCTTTGACCCGAATGCTTTGATCCCACGATAAACCTGTTAATCTCTCCGAAACTGTCGAAACTGATCGTCTGGTCTCGTTCTATCACGAATACGCTTGAATATGTTCCTTATTCAAGGCGGTCGTGTTTAGCGAGCCTAGACTCTATTTTTACGGCATCGAAGGATGCTGAAAGGGATGCATTATACGAGTATGACCCAGTTACGAGGTGGCAGCACGAGGTGGTGAGTTCCTGGGTGAACCGTTCGTTGAATGGTCTCGGTCGACGTCACTATTCGCGAACTAGGTCGACATAGAATTTCCGTGTCCCCCCTCAATCGCGAATGTGTTGTAGCGAGACCTTTATTCGTGAAACCGGGAAATCTGCTTGTCACGGAAACCGCAGTCGAGCCGAACGTTTCCGCGGCTGATCGAATAAACGAAAAATAACGAAACGATCATGCAAATCCGATCGAGAATCATGAGAAACTACCGCGAAGTCTATGCATTCTGGATCGGTTGTGCTTAGAAGTGTGCAAAAAGTCCTTTCACAGGATCCGTTGTCACGCTATAAAAGAATTCCGACATGAATGAACCGATCGACATTGCTGCTCTCGAAATAGGTCACGTTCCATCCGTTCTTTCTGTTGTATTTCGTTTTGATAAACGAAAGAACCAGCGGAGAAACGAGTATACACAGAAAACCGTACACCGAATAATGGACGGGATTTGTTTTTGTTAGAAAGGAGGTAAGAAATTTATTTTTAAGAAGGAAAAATAGAAAGAAAATTTGGAATATTTAATTATTTCTGAAACCAACGACGCACCATATACGTCTTGGAGAATAATGTATTTTATGAAAAGCTATTGGAGACATCAAATTATATAAACGTAAAATAACAAGTAAGATAATATAAATAAAAATAATCTAACGATAAGAGGTCAACGTGGAATCACGTAAATAAGAAGATTGTATAATTGGTCGAAGATGATGTTTATCGTCGAGTTTTCACGAGAAAGAGTCGTTTCTGAAAGAAACGCGAGGTGAATGGACCAGTCGACGTCATCGGTTTCGAACTGGGTCAACCCGGAGATTTCAGTTCATATTTACCCTCGTGCCACCCCTGAGTCGCGGTCGCGGTAGTTTTCATTGAAAACTAGGAAAGTGCTAATCCGGAAGATTAATCGTAGTTCTACTCGGAAAGAAAATCTATTTCAAATCGTATTTACAGAAATCCAGTGAAA